AAAAAAAAAAGCACAAAGGAAGGGTTAGAAGGGGGAAAAAACACAAAGAATGCACAAACACCTGCCTGGTGTGATGCGATGCAAGCCTGAGCCAAAGAGAAGACCGCTGGCTGTTGCTAAGACTGGAAACCAAACAACCTAAACACCTTGAAGTTCGTCAAAAATACTCTGCTGCGCATCGCACTTTCAACTCTCTTCTCGGTGTTTGGAAATGTGGTCAAACACGGTCTTTTGTGTTTGATATATTACTTCAAAACTCTTTATTCTCAAAATAGGCACAAACTGCCATAACAAACAGCCTCATGATCACAGAGTTTTAAGTGAACATACACATGACATACAAAAGTGGCGGTCACTGGCTATGTCAATTCACAGAGAAAGATCTTGTGACTGCAGAAGGTATGATGTACATTATTTTACTTAGTTATTACCACAATATTATTATTATTCATGTACAACACAAAATGATCATGGCTTTTTAAAAAATCTTGTCACCTGAAAAAGCAGCCACAGAGCAATGCTAGCAATTTCTGTATTCTTGAACATGTCCAGTCCATATTTGATACAGATTAATGCTTCTAAGCATGTGATCACACTAAAATAACAGAAATATAGAAAGTTAAATTAGTATAACTATGTACATGTAAACTGCAGAAAAAAAAAGATGCTGTTCCTTAACACATTTACACTGCAAGGTATGTGGACACTATTACCCTTTGAGTCTCAAGATTGGCATCTGAGCTCTAGGGAACATGTTACAGGGAAGTGGAAGTGAAAAAAGCCCCGACATTGGGAATGTATGCATAGGACACATTTTGTAGGGATAGTGTACAAGCTGGCACACATTAAGCAGATGCTTGTTCATTTCTGTGTTGTAGTGGGGACAGTTTGCAGTGGACACCAAGTAACATTGAAAATTGAGGTCACTTCGTCCCTGCTTGGTGATGCATTAATTCACACCAGCTGAATTTCATACAGCATGTTGCCTGCAACACAACTTTTTCACACGAGTAAAGCGGTTGCTGCAACATATCCCCGTGACATGTCCCCTAGTGTGTGCTGACCTTTACCATCCCTGTGCCGCTCTTGACAAACACAACACCTCCCAAGAGTGATCAGCTGCAATTTCTTGCTATCTCTTTTTTGTCGAGCAGACAGGTAAGTAAAATAATGATTATTAATACTTTGAACTTTTTTACTTACATTAACACCCAAGCCTGTGTTCCCAGTCGCCTACTTCTTGTGTCTGTTATGTACACATAGTACTGCCTACAACAACAGAGAGAAAAAGAAATTTAAAACAACCCTTAGTTTAGGCCACTGTCAATTTTTGTAGACTGGATTCCAAGCTGCCACAAGTAGTTTTACACAGCTTAAAGTCAAAGTTCAATGTGTTGTTAGTTGGTATTTAGCAAAGGGCAGCAAGGGTGAGGTGGGAATAACCTCACCTGCCTGGACTCCTTTTGCCTTAGAAGTTTAATCATGTCCCGCTAATCAACATGGTAGCTTGGAAGTTTGAAGAATTTACTCGAGAGAGTAAAAGGGTACTTTTCAAGAAGCATTTGACTTACCTCAAAGACGGTGCAACAATGAGACTGATGATACCCAGACGATAAAAGTTCAGCCAGTGCGAGGTTGGGACATAGAGAATGTGTTTAAGGAAAAATGTATTCAGTTCTACAATCTGGGGAAACAGGAAGTCATGTCAGACAAAGGTCACATTGGAAGAACAATCAACATCTTAATTCTTGTCACAACATGCACTGCCAAACAAACAAATAATGAAAGTAAAGAAGAACAACTTGTTATAACATTTTAACAATTTATTTCAACTAACATTTAAACAAATGAACACAATAATTATTTGTGGAATATACTGCATCAGTAGAGAAACCAATCAGATGTGAGTAGAACTGCAAACCCTAATAACAAATAATTATTATCCCGACCTGTGGCTGGATTTATTGGTTACATCAAAATGTGAACAAAATATTAATATTAAATCTTTTAATTCTGCTCATTTTTAGGAAAAGAAGCACTGTGTCTTAATTTGCAACTTACTTGTGATACAATCAACAACTGGCATATGGCAAAGAATCGCATGTAAGAGCATTTAGGATCCATCCACCGAACATGAGTCCAACTGAAGATAATAACACGATACCTGTCACTTAATACTATGGTGGCTTAACCTTTGGGTGTATACTAAACCTGCTTGTTACATGTATATTCTTATCTTCTTGTCCTATATTTGTGTTACAAACAAGTCATATCATGTGGAAGAAGGGAGAGAAGGGATGACCAAATTAAGTGAGATTGAGTTAAACTGATTGCAGAAATGTAAGGACTTGAGAAAGCATGGTCTTTAAAGATCAGAAAGTCTCACACTATATATTTCAGCACTGACAGTAGCACTGCTAACACTTACATGTATCATAACTCATAAAAGGTTGAGAGACATGAATTCCCAATATCACTGACAATAACCAGTTTGCGAAATATTCAATAATTTTGTTACAAATGAGAGTGCTCAAGAGATTATCAAATGCTGATAAAACTCATATGTAGTCTACATTTGAAAGTTACCCCAACTGAATACATTTGATGGTGGTACAGTGGCACCTCGCCTTATGGCCACTGCGTTAATACAGTCACCTTACTGCCACTTTGTTCTAACCTGAACAAAAGCTCAGTCAGTTATTTTATACGGCCAAATTTTTGTGGCCCGTTGGTGACCAGATTAACAGGATCGCACTGTACTTAGATTTGATAAACAAACCTTGCAGGAGTAAACTGCATGGCTGCACGGCGCAGTTTTCCAGTGGTCGTGTGAATATCCCTGCAAAAGAAAAAAGTAAATAATCTTTACAAATTATACACAATGTTGTCCTTTTAAAAAGTAGGGAAGTTAATAATAAAAATATTTTAAGAGCTTGAAACAGTAAACTTGATTAATTTTCTTCTTGTTAGGTGTATATACAGCTAGCTTACTTGATACTTTCCCAGTGATAATTGCGCATCTCCAATATCTTGCACACAAAAAGTCCGAAGTGAATTCCTAAGCCATTACAGATCAGGAAATCAAGCAAAAGTGCATCCCACCAACATTCAGCAAAATTAGGTAACAAGTGAGAAAAGAACACCTGAAATGCAAAATGTGTATACAGTTAAACCCCAATATTTCTAACTCTCAGGGGAAATGAAAAATAGTTCAAAATGTGAGAGTCTGAAATAGCCCAATACTAAATGAGCAAGGGGTAAATCCCAGGGAAATGGCCTTGAGTTTGAAATAGTGGAGAAGTTGCGAAGACAGGAAAAAACAAGTATTCCCCTCTACCAAGAGACAATATGAACAAAACAAAAAGAATGTTATCAACACTTGGACTGAAAGCTTTTATTTTGTCCAAATGTGAGACCTACAAACCATGCATAATCAGATATTAGGTGCTAAACATAGCCCCATTCTATGACACAACAACATCAAGTGATCATCAGAGACACTAAATGCAAAAGTTTTTCTTACCTCTGTGACCTCCCATGTGATACTTGCAGTCCACAAGAGTCCAGCATTACGAATCAGTAATGCCTTTAGAGCCCAACCAAAGAAATGGGCAAAGGCAAAGATATCACAATGAGACCAAAGACGTGCTAATGTCACTTGAGAACAGTTCACAGCATATTCCTAATAAACAAAAATGAACACATAAGCTGTTATACTTTCAACTCCTCAAGTGCCTGACTATTGTGTACACTGTGTGCCAGGCCTTTTTTCATAAAAACTTCAAATGCCATATTAAGCTCAATAAACTATCAACATGTACAGATTTTCTGAAGGTCATTAAAGTGTCTCTTCAGTTCGGTCAATTTTGCAAACGTTGGCATAATTTGATATTGATATGACATCACAGCATTACATGATTGGGAAATTAGCAGTCTCTGGAGAAACCTATGAATCTCAGGAGCCGATGAAAGTTGTTTCTGGTGTGCCAGGAGTTTGACTAAATCTCTTAAAATTTTGACATACTCAGTATGTTGTGGGCAAAAATCATGACGTACTGAGTACGTCATATAGGCAATCAAAGGGGTTAACTTAATTACACAGCAGATCACTAGTGAATGCTGATCTTAGAAGGTATCAGCATTTATTTACACTTGGAGTGTAAATAAACATCTGGGACTGTGGGGAATGTGGTTATGAGGAGATGTTCAAAGGGTTTCATTTTCATTGCTTACCACCTTTTTCTTCATAGTGGTTAGTAGTAAAGCCTTCCCTTCAGCTAGCTCATTAAAATGATCTTCTTTCTTTAAAAGTAAAGCTCTTGGTACTGTAGATAAAATTTATCAAGCATTAACAGCTCACCTTAGTATCTGGTCCTTCAAGCTTCAATTTAGGGTCAAAGAAAAACAGAATCTTTCTGAAGTCTTCACGAGTTTGGAACAAAGCAAATGCTAAGAAGAGCATGTAAAGAACACTCATACCTACAATAAAGCAAACAACAGAATCTTCTTGTTAGTGGAGCTAAACATATGTTAACAAAAAGAACAACATCTGATAAAAACTATGATCTGCATTTACCAAATATTAGTCTCCAAAGGGCTGGATGAGGTCTGATAAATGGGCCTACAATGAGAAAAAATTTAAAATCATTATCACTCACAACTTTCTCCATAGAATGAAACAACTTCTTCCTTAGGGGTTCCAGAAAAAATCCATACTTGACAAGGGGTTGTTAAAGGTAGCCATAAAAGTAGCCAGTAAAAATCACCATTTCCTTTCTGATCTCAACTAGCTACTCTACTGAGCTAGTGTTCCAATTCTCTAAGAAAGCTTGCAAGATATCTAGGTAACACCTAGAACTGGGAAAAACTTGTAATTGGTTCCTGACTTAATCATGTTAAGTCAGGGTCTTTAGTTCTTTAGTCCAGGGCTCCTCTGGATATCAGCAAAGATGTCAGCCTTGTCACTGAATGGGCCACCCTGGCTAAATAAAGTTTACCTTTACCTTTTACCTTTTACCATATCAAAGTTCTAAGACATAAATGATCCCAAAACACAAAATTAATTGATTATAAAATTTGGTCCACAGCACAGAGTGAGCCACAGTGTAAAATAAAATGTAGCATCTGTTGTCTAGAATATTTTAGTATTTACCATTTGGCATGACAAGAAGACTCAGAACTAGAAACACAACAGCAAGAGAAACCATTCCACTCCATATATTCTCCTCACGAGTAGCTTCTGGGTTTCTTAAAAAAAAAAAAAATACTAATAAGTTTTGCATTTGACACAGATGACAAGGTTGAAACTACTACTAAACAATAACATGAATTGAATGACAGGTGTCACATATTTAAGCTTATTGCAAGACATATTTATAGGCAGGAATTTAAAAGACCGTGACATCAAATCTTTGCCCGTGATTCAAAACATAGCTTAGAAACTGCTGGTATAGAGGCCGGCAACTGTTCTCTCTTTACGGGGAAAATAAGTCTTACATGTAGGCTAGATATATCTGCCAGATTATCGTTTAAGCCCAGGTGGAAGTTATATCAACATGTTAAATCCACCTGTTAAAATTCACGAAATAAAAATGCAAGACTGGAGAATAGTTTTATAAGACCACTTCATTGACTGGGGAAAAGGAGTGTGTGATTTTGGCGATAACGATACCGAAGAATGAAACAAAGAAGCAATTGTTATAAATTACAGCACCGTGAAATATTGAATTTTGTGAAGACTTGAATTTGCAGGCCTCTTCATATGACTTTTACACGATTAAAGCAATGACATAATGCTTTAATCCAATGAGATCTTTTAGATCTCCTTTTTGGTGTTTCGGTATTTATCTAAGCTATAAAAATCGCAATTGATCTTGTTAAAGCGAGATGCTGTCCAAAGACGGGCGTAGGCCAATTTTGAATAAGAATACACACAAGCTGATTGAAAAATCACGATCACCTGGTGAAAGCAGAGTAGACTAGGTACACCACCAGGCAAGCCAGCGCAGTGATGGACCGTGGCTTGTAAAAAAACTCCAGTGTAATATCTTCAACAATCTGTTCACTTGCATCTTGGTAATCGTCCGTGGATATGGTCGAAGTCGTTGAAAACGTTCGCTTCCGACGCCGCGGACTCCGCTCGTCCGCCATTTTCAGCAAATTATGTAAATTTTTCGTGGGCGAATCGTTAGCTCTCTCCAGTCCCTCTTCTGTTTACATTACTCTCCCTAGGC